CTCATAGATGCCCGCTCATAGGTGCCCACTCATAGGTGGCCGCTCATAGATGCCCGCTCATAGGTGCCCACTCATAGATGCCCACTCATAGATGCCCGCTCATAGATGCCCGCTCATAGGTGCCCACTCATAGATGCCCGCTCATAGGTGCCCGCTCACAGGTGCTCGCTCATAGGTGCCCGCTCATAGGTGCCCACTCACCTGCCTCATCTGCATTTCCCAAATGCAGTTTTAAGTAATTAAAATGCAAATTTTTAAAAGGCGTTGGGGAGGATCCGGAAAATGGCAGTATTCCCCCTCCCCCGTTTGCAGTTTTCCTCAGATGTGACCAGTGTTCAGTGTCCCTGTCCCCACCCTGGCTCTCTTTCGAGTTTGAGATTGTAATTCCTGTCTGCCTGTGATCACTTTACACAGCCCTATTACTTCACGGTAAGGTTTACGATTCCAGTGCTGTGGTGCCAAGGGCTTTGTGGCAGGGTTTTCCCTGCGTGAAATCAGTTCAGCCTGGAGGGCCCATGCCTCTGAGATCATGTAATGTAAGGGGCTCTGACCCCGAACTGCCCCTTAGACCATAGCAAAGATCTGACTGTTTTGTCTGAGGTTTAGGAACCACAGATTCTTGGATCATTTCTAAGGTCCCTGGAGCTATGAACTCGAAGGGTTTGTTCTGGTTTTGCAACCACATTTTATATTCAGAAAACAAATTTTGTAGGTTTTTTTAAAAAATTATATAATTCTTTGAAAATCTCCAGCATGAAATAACTGAATCAAACTGAAATGCCATTGAGTCCTAGCCGGAGTTTCTTGCCTATTTTTATTTTGTTTTGTTTTGTTTTTCATTGATTAACTTCAAAATGCTAGGGTTCTAACTAAGTGCAAAGTCCTGTGACAAGCATTTCAAGACAGTTTAATTTTTTAATTTTCATTTTGTTTGTGTACACACATGCGCATGCGTGCATATGCTTGTGCATTGGTGTGTGTATGTGTGGCGTGTGTGCGTGTGTCTATGTGCATGCATGTGAGTGTGCGTGTGTGTGTGTGTGTATGTGTGTGTGTGCGTGCATGCGTGCGTGTGTGCGTGTGTGTGTGCGTGCATGTGTGTGTATGTGTGTGTGCGTGTGTGTGTGTATGTGTGTGTGTGTGCGTGTGTGTGTGTGTGTGTGTGCGTGTGTGTGTAGGTTAAATAACAACCTACAGAGTGGCTGTCTCCTTTCACCATGTGGACGCCTGGGGTCAACCTCACATCGGCAGGCTTGGAAGTAAGCACCTTGACCCACCGTGCTAGTGAGTTTTTGTCAATTTGACACAAACTGGAGGTTGGAAAAGAAAGTTCCCTCACTTGGAAAGAGAGAACCTCAATTGGAAAAAAAAAATCGGATTGGCTTTTTGGCAAATCTGGAGGGAATTTTCCTGATTGATGACTGATCTGGAGGGGCCATCTCACTGGGCAGGTGGTTCTAGAAGGTGTAAGTAAGCAAACTGAGCAAGGCATAGAGAGGAAGTCAATAGACAACATTTCTCCATGTCCTCTGCCTCGGTTCCTGCCTTGAGTTCCTATCCTGACTTCCCTCTGGGATGAACTTGGGACGTGTAAAACAAATACCCTTTTTTCCCCCAAGTTGCTTCGGGTCACGGCTTTCATTACAGCAGTAGGAAGCAAGCTGGAACACCCACTAAGCCACCTCTCCAGCCCCATGTGGCATTTCTAAAGAAGACAAGCAAGGCAGTCATTGAGTGGACCAAGGAGTAGGGAGGCTTCTGTGGGTCTGCTCCGTAGACTTTTAAAGTCTACCTTCTGAAACAGTTCATCGCCAAGGAAATGACATTTTTAAGGGTCTCTGAGCTCCTGTTCCACCAGGAGCCAACGTGGCATTTAAAGTCTAACTGACAGCAAACTGGTCTCTGTGTGAAAAGGAAGGAGGAAGAAGAGGCCAGCGCCCCGAGCCTGCTGCAGGAAGGCCTCCTTTCCCTTTTGGTGGGTCCAGAATGCCTTTGCTGGGTCTTCGTGCCAAACTCAGGTTCAGCCGGCAGTCAGAGGTGCACGCTGGAAGCTCCTCAAAGAAGAGAGCCACACCCCTTCTCGCAGGGAACCCCCAAGGTGTACACACGGGAAGTTCCACTTACCCGTAATGAAGAAGGCCTTGTGATGGTCCAGGCGAACGGTCTGCAGGGCGCCGTACTCTCCAGCCGCCCCACTGTTGGGGTGGAACAGCACCTGAGAAAGAGAGGGTAGCGTGGGTCTAAGAACGCCACGCGGGGCCAGCAAGACGGCACCTCGGGAAAACGTGTCTGACGCGCAAGCCTGACAACCTGAGCTGGATCCCAGGAAGCCATATACAAAGACCTCACTTCAGCCAAGTGCAAGGTCAAAACCGACGCTTCAAAGTTGTCCTCTGACCGCCACAGCCAGATGACGCATGAATAATAAAAACCCAGAGACAGATATAGGGGTTCAAGCTGAAGATCAGAGAAGCAGAGCGGCCAGCCACTAGAGAGACCTTTTACCTCTACCAATGCTCAGACCACAGGGACGATCCTCAGACTGCCTAGACTGCAGCGTTTCCACCAAACCTCAGACTCCACACACCAGGGAGTTACAGTCTCTTCTTTATATTCCTCTCCCCGCCAAACCATGTCGCTCCCGTCTCCATCTCCCTAGTGCTGGGATTAAAGGTGTGAGCCACTGTCACCTGGATCTGAACCCTTCCATAGCCCAGGGTAGCCTTGAACTCAGAGATCCAACTGCCTCTGTCTCCCTAGGATTAAAAGTGTGTGCCAACACTCCCTGGCCTCTAGTGGCTTAGCTTTGCACTCTGATCTCCAGGCAGGCTTTATTTATTAAAATACAAATAAAATATCACTTCAGCCAGATGTGGCACATGTGTGTCCCCCCAAGGCACACACTACATACATACTTATCTACACTAGAAAGAAAATCATGCTAGGTGTCATGGTCCCTACCCATACCTCTAAAATACTTACTGTCAAGCACAAGCCTGTGGCTGATGGCAGCCAGCTCCTGGGAGCCACTGAGAAGCTATCATTTCACTAGGAGCTTAGGGGGGGTGGTCTACAACTCTGCGAAGCTGAAAGATCTCCCTGGGTTAGATTCACGGGCCCAGTGCCGGCTCTGTAATCCACGGGGTTTGCGTGTCAGGGATCGGTGCTTTTTAACTTTACAAATTAAAAATTCCAACACAGTCACAGCAACGTTTTAAATACCGCTCAGGGCCCTTCTCTTGAGAGGGACTTCTTATAGCCGCTTGGGCCATACACCCAGGAGTCCCAGGTGCAGAAAGCAGCCTGCACACAGGATGGCTTACAGATGTCCTGGGGCTGGTGATGAAGCTCTGGCTCCTTCAGCCCCGATCGCCTCTCGAAGTCTCTTCAGCAAGAATGGCATGAGAAGTGTGAGATTTCTCTGGCACCCTCTGGACCTTTCATCGCAGTGCTGGGGATCGAACCCAGGCCCACACAGAAGCCAGGCACACACTCTACCTCTGAGTTACGGCTCCACCCCAAGCCTAGCCTGAACACAGACACCTATGACTCAGTCCCACTCGGCTGCTGAGGAAATCTTTCCTGATTCAGTCAGACATGGAAGAATTACCCTCAGGAGCGGAAACACCTAATTCAGAGGTCCCGAGGGAAGGACTTGGTAGGAAATAAAAGGCCAGCATCCTTGGTAGGTTGGTGGGTTTGGGCTGAAGGCATGAGACTGCCCTGGTATGAATCATGTCCGTATATATTGCTGGGAAGGAACTTACATGAATCAAAGTTTCCGTGGGGCTTGGGGAAAAAATAATGAGAAACATCTGTCTGAGAGGGAAACAGCTGCTCCCCCCACCCCCAGTTTCAGTACCCTGAGAGGATGCTGCCCTGGGCAAGGCTCCTCCACACCTGCTGCTTCCCTGCCCCTCTCCATCAAACCTACAAACACCCCCAGCAGGCTTCCTCCAAAGAAGAAAGGAAGTCATTACTGAAAACCTCACTTCTTCCATCCCCAGAAAGCCACACCCGTCACAGCAGAACACTGCTTTGCTTCCTTGAGAAGGACCTGGACCATCCAGAGTCTCCTATCTGTGATATGTTCAGACCCCCATCCCAAAGACACAATCAAGGTCAGTCTCTTCAAACCGTGGTATCATTTGGGGCTCAATAACAGCACCTCCCGAAGGAGAGGCTGCCACATTCGAAAGGTATAAATGGCCCTAGCGGAAACTTCCAGAACCCGAGAAACAAAACTGGGCTGGCTTGTTCTTAGAGATGGGGTGGGTTTCGAGACACTCATATAAGCCACCTGCTTGGAGCAGACCGTTGGCAGCGTTCTTGTTTACATAAACATGGAGAGAAGGCTGTAAGTTTACACGCAATCATGGCTGCATATACTTCCTCTCCAGACGTCTGGTCCACAGTTCGGAGCCAAGGGACTTTATCTTCCGCAAGCCTGCACAGACTTCCCGGTTCCTTTTCTTTCCTGCGTACTGGTCTGCTTTGCTACAATTTTGCTGTTTTGTCAAGCACGGGAGTGTCGCCCTGCACCCCGTATTACCTCCTGAGGTGTTCTCCCGCACCAAATCAGGCTGGGGCGCATACGGCTTCAAGTCTCCAAAAGCAGGGGTAGGGGAGAGGGGTGCCAATCATCTGCACGTCACTCTCATGACACATATCACCACTAGGGGCCTCTCTAAGAGAAGTGATGGCTGTTCACGTTCCTGCACCGCATGGCTTCTGTTGTGCCAAACTGTTCATAGCCCACAGCAGGCCCGTATTGGAGTAGACCATGCAAATGCAGAAGTGTTGAGGAAACTTTCCCTCCGATGACAATATTTGGACCTGGTCATGAATGATGTGACTTGGACACTCATGATGTCACCACCTCCAGCTTCCATCCTGGAGTCAGGAGACTAGAAAGTGGGTCACTAGGTTCTGGAATGGGTACCCCTCCCCTCTCAGGCTCTCAGTCCTCTCTGCTATAGATATTAATAATTTGCATCGGTATGGATCTTGGTTTATTGATAGAAATTTGAGATCAGTTTTTTATATGTATATTTCTGCTCTTGGTTAAGGTATTGTGTTTGTGCAGCTCATTTAAAAATTTAATGTATAATTAAGAAATATAGGTAAATAGAGAGTCATCTATAATGATCAAGCTTGTAGTCATGTTAGTTAGATTTTCTAGATGTACAGAGATGTATTTCAGATGGATTGGCATTCTTAAAACCTTTCAACGACAGAATATGGCATTTAAAATGTTTAAGAACATAGAACTTTCATGATAGTGAGACACATCTGCTCCTGGCAGCACCAATTCCTTCGAGAGGAAGATGGGCATTGAAGAGGCTCCTTATGGAGTTGGTGAGCCATTTTGGGCAAGAAACTGTTCTTGCCTGGACTGTTTAATAGTACATTGTGTGAACTGGACATGCAGGACCCACAGAGAAATGACGGCTGAAATTGCCTAAAGGTGAAACGGTCCTTCAGTGTTTCTGCTTCATGAAAGAGTCTGCCAGACAGTCTGTAGGACACAGAAGAAAGTGACTGACAAACTAACATAGGCGGAATTGTCTTTCAAATTTCCTGCTTCATGGAAATGTCTGCTGGATACTATGGGCCTGTAGGCTGAAGATGGATGCCCCAATGGTACAGAAGAACTTTGGATGACTGTCCAGGCAGTGAGATGTCTCTGTCAATTCTAGAGTTTTGGAAGTTGCTTACAATGTACTTCCTGTTTACTTAGGTAATATTGTATCCTTCTGGAGTCTTTGATGGAGTTGAAGAATTGGTAGTTAAAGTTTTCCTTAGTTATGATAAAAGATAAAGTAGATATACATATTGTAACTGTAATTCTTGCTTGATACCTGTTTTGTTATATGTAATTTTACTATGTTAAAGTTAAAACCTTCCTTTTTTATTTAAACAGAAAAGGGGAGGCGATGTGGGATTTCCCTTCTGTATGCTGTGAATACCATTGGTTAATAAAGAAACTGGCTTGGTCTGATAGGGTAGAACTTAGGTAGGCGGGAAAAACTAAACTGAATTTTGGGAGAAAGGAGGCAGAGTCAGAGAGAAACCATGTAGCCCTGCTGGACACAGACACCGGAACTTTATCTGGTAAGCCACAGCCTCATGGCAATACACAGTTTACTAGAAATGGGTTAAATTAAGATGTAAGAGTTAGCCAATAAGAAGCTAAAGCTAATAAGCCAAGCAGTGATTTATAAAGCAATGGGTATAAAGCTAGTAGTCACTGTTTGCCTTAAGCCTCTCATTCAATGGCTCGGGAGATGAATGAGGATATGTGTTTCTGGGCTGTTTCTCTCTTCAGATCTGGGCTACCCTTGCAATACAGAGAAGTCAACCGCTGAGAGGCATCTGAGTCATGTTTTGAGCTGACTGTCTAGGAAGTTCTTTGGGCTTCTAGAAACTGGAATGATTTCTAAGCCAACCCATATCAGAATCCTTTTAAATGGAGGATCGATCTGTGGGTGGATACAAATTGCATTTATGAAGAGGTCCAAGGGGCTGGAAAGATGGCTCAGTTTCTGATCTTGCAGAGGACCTGGGTTTGGTTCCCAGTACCCATATTGAAGCTCACAATTGTCTATAACTCCACTTGGCAGGGAATTTGGTACCTTCTTTTGATGACTGTGGGCATTATATACATGTAGTGCACACACATAAACTCAGGCACATAGAATGTACATATGATATTTTTAGAGGTACATACATATTATGTATAGGAATGGATAGATGGATGGATGAATTGGTGGGTGGGTGGATGGATGGATGGGTGGATTATGGGTGGGTGGGTGGATGGATGGATGAATGGATAGATGATGAATGATGAATGGATGATGGATGAATGG